GTTTTGCAAGCACTTTAGAGCCCCTACGATTGCAGGCCCTACGGCCTCCAGCCCTCAAAATCGGCAGACCCTCAAATGACAGAATTCTGACCTAGGTCTTGAAACAAGGCCTGTAGCTATCACAGAGTGGGATTTGACAACACCCTCCCCAGAGAGAGGGGGCAGGATGCATCAACATGCATCTGCCCCACCAAGGCATCCGCGAGACCACCAATCTTTGCGAATAAAAAGAGAGTTGTGCGAGTTCGCTGACGTTATGATTTGGAATGAAGTTTATATTTGTATATATTTGGACTGCCTGCTTTGACATATCATTGATCCTTGGATTTCCGTCCACTCTTTGAGATTTTCAGTACAACATCTTTTGAGACAGGAGGTAGCACTAACCTAGACGCTATGCGAAGGACAGACTATCGTTTTCTCAGAAGAGTCCTGGGCATCAAGGCGGCCTACTACTCTAGAACTCCTAACACGGAGGTATGGAATCAGGCAGGCAGACCACACCGCGCGGGGGACCTTCTCAACGCCATACAGCACAAGATGCTGGTGGAGGTATGTTGCCATAGCATGAACGACCCGTTACATAATGCAGTCTTCTGTTCGGCGCTGAAAGACCGCATCTAACGCAGGGTCAAAGAAGAGGAAAGCCAATACCGTACTGGTTGAACACCATCATTAAAAGGCATTATCCCGACTTGCCTGACCACACCGCAGGGTCACTGTTTGGGCCGCAGTTTAAGTGGCCGAACCCTGCGACAATCCCTTGAGAGGGCGCCAAAGCGCGCAAGACAGCGCGCGTGGCCCTAGCAAAAAAGAGTGTCACAATCTTCACTGCGTGCATCCTTAAAGGATTGTTGGAGACCTAAACCAGCTTGGACTTGAGTTTGATCGAAACGACTTTATCTTGATCCTTGTGCGCCTACGCTTGGGTGAGTCAAGCTGTGATACCTCTGACTTTTGAGTCACCGAGTATCACGATAGGATTCTGTGCAGTCCTAGTCCTTGAAACTCAGTTCAGACAGTAGCTTTTGCGATGCCAAATGTGCATCAAACGCGAGCTCGGACTGCTGTAAGCAGCGTCGCTCAGAGACTGAAAGACCACCGTATGCAACTGACGGCGACGGGCTGAGTGCACATGTCGGCGACCTTGAATGAGGCGTTTTAACTTGTATGAATTTCATGAAAACCTGCTCTTTGTGACTGAGCAGCTCTTGGCGGGGTGATTGAAATTTCACTCCATTTAGGGCTGTTTCCTTTGGTGCCCGAAACCGTTTTGCACGACACGTCGTTTTGTTTTACACGTGCAGTTTTGCCTCACGGGTTGTCATGTGCATTTACAGTCATGTCGTTATGTTGCAGGCGTTTGAATATCGAGGAAAATTTTCAAGGGGAGCATCGTAAGGGTGAAATGCGGACTATTCCCGGGAAGTTGCGGCTCCGCATCCCACAGGGGTAATACAGCACGGCACGGATGCGGCGACTCGGGGAGAAAAGCCTCTTGACACGTTGCTGTCGTGGAGAGTACCGGGAGCGTCATCCAGCGCGTCTAGCGCGCGAGCCCTTATACTGCATAATCCCCACAATCTGTGCTATGCAAATTCAGTGCTGCACATGTTTTTCTATGCACGCTCGCATGACGGACAGGTGAGCGGCCTGGAAGCCATGAGCGGAGCCCGTACACAAGCTGCCAGTTCCAGTAGGGCCACCAACATTGCCAGAGGAGCGGAATGGGCTGTTTTATGGCAGGGATGGGAACAACCCACCCACCAGCACGATGCGGCTGAGTTTTTACAGCACCTCTGCCAAAAAAAATAGATTGCACCGCGCTACGCGGAGGCTGGGAGGCCAGACATCACAGAGATGGAGCGTACGCCATAGTTGACGAGCAGTACACGTGCCCCCACCTCAGACTTAACCTGGAGAGACCATTTCAGGTCCAAGAAGCCATTGCCACATGGCACCAACAGGATAACACCCATGCCTTTACAAGACCACCTGACACCCTGATCCTGCAGGTAAGCCGCTTCCTGCACACTGAGCGCGGCATACGGAAAACTCGACAGAGCTTTCAACTGCAGAAAACAGTGCACATCCCAATTTTCACGGATCATACAGGGATGGTTGCACAGATTCCGTATATGCTCTGCGGAGGTGTGCTACATGTAGAAAAATTCGTCACGGCGGGACACTATCAGGCCTTCTACTTTCCTGGCTCCAGTGAGGATCTCTGGTCATCGAATAGTCTTGTTGTGGGGTGAGCGGTTTCCGCCCCCTTGACGAGTGCGCCCCACCTTTTCCATGAATGCAGTGCTCGCATCAGCTTTTACAAATGGCGTTTGAGGACTCCTCACGCCATCAATGATGCTCCATTTCCAGTGTTTGAGGACTCCTCACACTGTCAATGCTATTTGCTTCTGAACGGCCCCAACTTTGCACAGTTAGCTAGCGTTAGACACGTCCCCGCCATGACACGATAAACTGTCGGGCTCTTCGGGGCACAGTTGTACGGCTGCAAGGGCAGTCTTGGCATGTAGCTGTAGGGCCCTTCGGGGCGCAGCAGCATGTTTGCCTTTCACCGGCGGACCCTCAATTGAGGGGTGGCAAGGATCACAACCGCCCGCAAGACAGCTGACCCAGCTGAAGCGAATGAATGAAAACAAAAGGATGGGCCCGGGGCCGTCCGGTGTCTTTCTCGCTTCGCTGAGGTGTTCAAGGTCTGCAGGCACAGGTCACGTCCTTAGCTCGTCACTCCTTGGAGGAAGGGCTGGAAAATGTAGGCTTGCTCCTGACTCGCATGATTGAAGATATCTGAAATTTCCCGAGGTAGTGTTGAAGAAGTCTTTTCGACTGATAGTGGAATATTCATCATCGTAATGATTGTACATGTCGTGTTCCCCAACAGAGAATACGTCCCCATTTTGTGTGTTTTCAACTGAGTAATAGCCGCCACATGGCTGTGCAGCTGCTGTATGTGTTCGTTTCATCAAAGGCCAAAGGTTCGGATGCAGCACCGAATGATTGCCTTGCGAGCATGCGCGACAGGGGTTCTTAGCTCCCGTAGGTGCCAAGGTGGCATTCAAGATGAAGCACTGTACGCACACAAATATGCTAGTTTGCAGTCGGCACAACAATCCGAAACATGTAAGCACAATAACCTGTTTCTTTCGAACAATGGCAGCATGGCTTGCTATGCGTTAGTGTCAAACCAACTCCTGAAAACGCAAACGCATAATCAACAGGTTTTCACATGCAGACCCGGCATGTTTTACTGTTTTTACACCTCGCTAGACTGGCATGATGTTGGAGCCATGGGATGAGCAAGTCGCACAGGCTTGTTAAGCAAACTTGATGATTTGAGTATTTCATGTGCACTGATTGAGTTGTACGATTCGACAGTCTTTATGACTTTATGAACTTTAGACGTGCAGCAGATGTTAACAGACAGTTTCATACATGTTGCAGGAACTTTTCTGTCGCTTGGACCAACGTGGACGAGGTTATCTGGGCTCTGGCAAGGCCGCAGCTTATGCACGATTGCGACGACAGGAGGTTCCCAGCTCCCGGCGAAGTAGTACTTCTGGTTTCATTGTGGTATCGTCAACGTGCGATTTGTGTTTTGCTGTCAAGCCGACTACTTCCTAATGTTGTTGTACGAGCCCAAGCTTTTGGTTGCAGGTCCTTCGTGTTCTCTGCGCGGGCATATTTGCAAAGTGTCAGCAGCTTATGCTCCGAGTTGTTGCGCACAGTGCAAGTGGAAATTGCAGCATAAAATTGTTGACCTTGAGTCGACAGGGATGTTCCATGATAAACTTTGCAGCTTCAGGGCATCAGCGAGGGTTTAGAGTGCCAGAACAAGTCATTGCAAAAACAGCCAGGATCGTTGATTCATGCGAAGTTGTACGAAGGGAAGAACCGCGCTGTAGAGTGGACCAGGAGAGATTTGAGGACGGCTTGCGCAGCACAGTAGACCGTCACCGGACCATGGCATGTGTTCGAATTGAGATACAGGCACGCATTTTTTGGCTCAATTCTGAGCTTTGGTGCTCGAGCTCTAGCCGGAGCTCTGTGTCACTGCAGCATGCAACAGTGGGAAGTAGCGTTTCGCCAAACACATCAAGCAAGCACTGCAATCTCCAACACACGCCAAACACAGATAGACGTCGGCCTTCGCTGCCAGCAGTGGCTTGACAAAACAGTATCTCTGCCGACGATGCCTCTCTGAAGCATTGGAGCTTGACGGGCCTTGCTGGTTACATTCGGAGGATATGAGTCTAGCATTTCTGCTTCATGCACAGGTTATGCTCTAGCAAAGTTCGTGAAGACTGTGGATTCTAGTCTGTGAGGCTTAAGCAGAACTGGTGGATAGGTCAAACAGGAAATGCCGTGCTTTGCAGGGCTGTTCTTTCCGCTTGCCGTCTGCATGTGTCGACTTGATTTGCTGCCTGGAGACGTATAGAAGGCAAGCGTGGCCATTTGATCTCCAGCAGCACTGCCTCTAGATTTTCAGAAGTAGCTTGACGGCTTTTGCAACTTGTGATGCTCCCCCCAGGCAGACGTCCAGAAGCGGTACACATGCTTCGCAGTCTGTAAGCAGCTTTCCATCAATTCGAGTGTAGAACGTCTTCCATGGTTTCTTGCGCACCTACGGCATTTCGTTTTTGGTAGTATGATCTCCTAAGCCCTTGTAGGAATGATTCAAGAACATGGTGGCCTTTTTGTCTCCGGAGCTTCTTCGCCATCTTCTGACTGCTCTGGACAGTTTGGAGATCTCGCTGCTCTGCGCATCATCCAGGGCGCAGCGAGAACAGTTCAAGTTTCTTTGTGCATTTGCCGTCAAGTTCAAGCGCGATAATGTGGTAGAAGAGGTTGCAGTGGAGTCCTTGCAGAAGGCAATAGCCACGTTGTCAAGTTTGCAAAGACTTGCAGTTGGTTTGGCATATCAGACCACTCTGCGCCAGAGCATTTGCCAATTGACCCAGAGCCTTTGTAAACATCCGCTCACGAGTTTGACCCTTGACTTGCGCCGCTGCTGGCTCGGAGATGATGGCACGCAAGGCCTGGCAACATCCTTATCTGTGTTTCGACTGAAGCATCTAGATCTTCGCCTCAGCTTCAACAACATCTCGGGCAGAGGTGCGGACGACTTGTCAGAAGCTTTGGCACCTTCTCTTGTGGATATCGTTTTGCACATTGACATCAACCTCATAGGCCGGAGTGCCCCAAAGCTGCTTTGTGCTGTGCTTCGTGCCCAGCGGGCTCATATTGATTTGGCTCACTGTGGGCTTGGTCATGTGGCCCTGCAGCTCGCAGATACGCTGGAGTCTCATGCGTCGAGATTTGTAAATTCTCAGAAGCTACACATCGACTTGCGGGGCAACGACTTGGCAGATTCTAAAGGCTTAGTCATTAAAGCTGCAGCCTGCCTGAATGCAGCAGGGTGCAAGTGCCTCATTGAGCTTGACTAGCCATTGCCTGTTGTTCAAAAAGGGTGCTTTTCAAAGTGATTCAAACTGCTCTCCCTTTTGATCTCTCGCCTGGAGCAAACATTGGAGCACCTGCATCAGGCTCAGCAATGCTCAGCACAAGCCTGCAAGTCTGTAGGTCGTGGTGTCGTCTCTGCATGCTTGAGGAGTGCGGAGGACAATCCAAATCCCGTTGTGTACGGGAGCGGACAAGCAATCCAGTTCAGATCTTTGCAGGACGGCCTCGCAGACTTTGAGTCCAAACGATACATGCCTCAGATGTAATTCATGTGCAGGAACTTCTCGAAATTACCGACTTGCAAGATGATTTGACACCGCAGGAGAGGGTGCTGCGTTGTGGGTGATGCTCTCAGGGTCTCTGGTGACCTCCGCCAGGAGATATTCGAAAGTTTGCGGCACCTGACAGACCCAGAGCATCCAAACCTATCGCTGGAGCAGCTGAAGCCGCTTGGCAAAGCCAACACTGCTGACACTTGTGTGGTTGGATTGATTGTGTCGACTTTTCAAAGGCTTCTTTTTTGTGCCTCACTGCTCTTGCGTTGTTTTGCATCTCTCAAGCAAGACACATCGACCCTGTACATTCGCACGCATACATGTACATACACATGTTGACCAAAGCATGCAGATATCAGCATAAAGTAATTTTGTGAACGAATATGTGAAAGTTCCAAACGCTTTCGATGAAGGCTCGGAAAACCCATACTTTGCTAGCCGGTGCAAGCTCGTTGGCTAAGTGAACAACCTTACCTGTCTTCAAGTTACCTGTCAGCTGGGTGTGCCATGACCGAGAACAGTGCACGTGCGTACACGCACACACTTACACACTTACGCACTTACGCACTTATGCACTTATAACGGACACATGCACGCACGCACGTAACGCGCATTCGCACACGCCTGCACGCACGCCCACGTCTATGCCCACGTCCACGCCCACGCCCATGCCCCACCCCACGCGCATACCCACACCCACTCTCACACCCATGCGCACGCGTGCGCATGCACGACCACAGGCGCAGGCACACGCACACCCACACGCACACCCCAGTAGACACAAGCGTCTGGGCTCCAACCTGTTTTGTAGGTGAGTGCAGTGGGGTAGGGTGCAGGCCGGGGGTCCCGGCCTGTTGAGGTTGTGCGTAAACCCTCTTTGCTCGGCCAGTGCATGGCCTACAAGCGCACGCGGAAGTAGATGCAGCATCTGTCCTTTTGACGGAACCAGAAGCCGAACCGGAAACTGCCACTGCTACCCACCAAGCTCACACTCAGTGGACTCGCCAACAACACCTGACAGGCGCAACGGTTTACCTCAGTCAGCTTCGGTCTGCAGGTGACACACCGGACACCGCCAGAGGCCGTGCCCTGCTTCGAGTGCAAAGGGCATGGACGGCCGCAGGAGCTGATTTTCCACATCTTGCAGAACTTGACACCGTTCTATCGTGAGCTCTTCCATGACGCGTTGTTGGGCCTGCACCTCCGACACACACGCTCCCTGCTGCACCTGTTCCCGACCACAGATCAAGTGCCGGTAGGCTCTGCAGGCCCCTGTGAGTGCACCGGTGGTTCTGCCCGCCATCTGGAGCCATCAAGTGTGGGTTCCCTGGCAGCTCCAGAATGCTCCGCACAGCGCAGTTGGTCAGAACGCCCGAGATCTCAAGCATGCACCTCATGCGTGCACGCACACAAACCGTTTTCCGCAACGCCATTGCCTTGTGCGCCGGTGCGCACCTGGCCACGCTGAAAACCTTGGACAACACGGTCTGGGTCTACACACAGAACCAACCTGCCGACACCGGCCTCCGCGCCGTGAGCCTGCACGAGCTCCTGCACGCCGACGGCAAGCTCTGGTGCCAGATCACCAGCCTGCACGCCCAGCACTGGTCCCTGGACGATGCCTTGCATAAAACCAGCAATGTGCGTAGCGACATGCATGGCTTCCTGCAGCCGCGCGCTCGCCCAGTCAAGGGCACAGGCAAAGGCAAACATCCAGCATGCACAGGCAAAGGCACCCGGACAGGGAAGTGCCGCGACACTCCCAAGGGCCCGCGCCGCGACACTCAGCAAACAGGCAAAGAGTCCCGCACCACCTCCACGACGCCCGCAGCCCCGCTCGCAGCCAGGCGCGGCAACAAGACCATTTGCCAGCGATACTACAAGGGAACGTGCACGGACTCTGCCTGCAAGTACAGCCACGTCTGTGGCTTCAAGACTGTCCGAGACGCGCAACCGGGCAACTTTTTCGTCGCTGCGCACACATGCCACCCGCGTCAGATGCACAGCAATGCCTGCACCACCGCCACTTGAGCCTAAGCGCGCGCCGTCCACACAGTGGCCGCCCTAATACCTCCTTGTGGTTGGCCTTGCGCTTTGCCGGCATTGCCTATTTCACCGAGGCAGCCTTAGATGCCTCGCTGTATCAGGGGCCCAGGACTCTCGATGAGTCCGAACCATGCATGAAAGTGCTTCAGGTTGAAAGTCGCTAGCACGAACATGTTGTCCTATGACTTGCTGATGTAAGATCGCTTCCGCTTTCCAGGTACAGTGTGTTCAGTGCTGAAGCTTGTGCACAGGCCTTGAGCGTTTGGCTTCGCAGGCAAAAGATTGATAGCTTTTTGCTGACAGCTGGTAGCGGAGCAGGAACGCTCCAGCTACTAGCGGATGGACCCATGGGCTGAGTACTTAGCTCAGCGAAGGACTTTCCAGCAGGATGCTGCTGGTGTCGCAGGCGCAGGGCGCCGCGAAGAGCGTGCAGGGCACAAAGAAGAAGTTCCTCAACTACGTCCACCCGGGGTGGTTTCGGATCCTTTCTATGTGGGGTCTCCAAACGGAGCTGGGGTCGCACCCACCGGAGGCTGGCTACCTGGACCAGCCCCATACGGGCAAGGGCTAGCTTTTGGTTCTGGATTCAGACCTGAGGCTTCCCAAAGACCTCCGATGTTAGCGACAGGAGCACCTCCTACAAGGACGTTGCCCAACACCTGGGGTGGATTACCGTTTTCGGCTATGAGTTTTCCTCGGATGCCTCAGCGGCAGCTTCGCTGCTAGCCGGTTGCTTTCCAGGTCCATCGGTGGAAGACGCGTTGGCCACTAACCGAGTGGTCGAACACCTCAAGAAACACCCGGTGTACCTACGAATTCATGCCCTTCGAGAAGAAGAAGTTCGTCATTTGGTCGTGTCAGACTCCTCCTTCGACCCTTCAGGGAAGACCAAGCCTCAACACGGTTGGATTCAGGCCATCACTGCGCCGGCACTCAACCTCGGCAAGGTTGCCCCCGTTTCCTTTGTGGCCTGGAGAAGCAAGAAGATGAAGAGGAAAGCTGGCAACACCTTGTTGTGCGAGAGCATAGCGATGTCAACAGCGATTGGAGCCCTAGAAAAACAAGAAGCCGTTTGGAGAAGCTTATGCACTTCCAAATTTGACCCGAAGGAGAAGGTTTGGGACAGCGACACCGAGCTTGGAGTACGTGGAGAAGGGACCGTGATTGCCGCGGAAAGCACACAGTACGTTGATCCGTCAGCAGTAGCCGTGGCGGACGCCAAGTCCCTTTTCGATGCTCTTCATGCCGAGCAAGCTCACGGAGACGATGACCGGGCAGCATTAGAAGTGGCCATAATTCAAGACAGTCTAGCTCGTCTGCAAGGCCGCATACGGTGGATTCCTCACAACGTCAATCCAGCTGACGGCCTTACCAAACTGGAAGGAGCTCACATGAAACCCCTGATGGATGTCTTGAAGACCTCCACTTTTCGGATAGAGTCCGAGCTACTCCGTGGAAAGCAGGGAGAGCACCGTATGCAGATCAAGGCCTAATGCGGTCTTCGCTTCAGCTTTATATTTTAGGGGGCGCTGTAAGATCGCGTCCGCTTTCCAGGTACAGTGTGTTCAGTGCTGAAGCTTGTGCACAGGCCTTGAGCGTTTGGCTTCGCAGGCAAAAGATTGATAGCTTTTTGCTGACACTGAGCCCATGAACGAGGACCGTTCACACACAGACACACAGACACAGACACACACGCACACACAAAGACAAGAGACACACACACACAAAGACAAGAGACACACACACACAAAGACAAGAGACACACACACACACAGGGCACACACACACACACACTAACATACAGATGGGTCATGCGCTGCACACCTATGCTTGCTCTTGCAACGTACCGTTTTAAACCGTCTCATGTGTCTCCAGTTGGCCACACGTCTTTTGGCCTGCAGACTGTTGCTTCGCGGCTCGTCATGTCACCAAGCAGTCTAGAGCATGGGTCTCCGTTGACTACGACAGGGTGGTCGAGTCCGGCCATGTATGGGTCAATGACAAGGCCAACACAGTTTTCGAATCTTGGTGGCAGAGGGTTAGCACGTGCTAAAAGAGATATCCAAAGATGTGAGCATTAAAGAGTTTCGGATTGGGCTTTGTCCACAAGCACAGGTGCGCTTCACACCGACGGTCCCCACCTGCAGTGTGGCAACCTTGATTGGCCTGACCATCAAGGCCGTGTTTTATTGGAGGGAACGCATGGCCTCCGCTCTCCACATTTCTCTAAATTGGGGTCCCTTTTAGGCTCCTTTTTGTAAGGGTGCCGTATTATATTCGGGTCTAAAAATTACCTTAATTTAGATACATACCCGAATGGTGACAGTGTGATTGTTGCGAAGACGGCCTGTTGATGTAAGCCGGGGTTGTCCCTATAGGGGTCATGCAAGCAAATTTGTCGAGTGCGGAAGCAAATGCCCTCGCCAGCTGATGAGGCCAAGCTTCTTCGTTCACTTCCTCGTAGATGCTTGATTTCGTTCATCTCGATTCAGCGCCCGTGAAATTATGGGGTATGTCAGGCTGCCAGTGTTGTGCTGAGGATACAAAATTGATGTGGAAATTACACCTGGAACTCACAACTCTGAAGACCAAGCCGTTGCCTGAGATTCGGCTTGTCGAGCCGTTTAGCTGCCTAAGACCTAGGTAAGACCTAGGTCCCCAGTTGAAGTCATGCAAGAATCTGCACTCGCCCAGGTCAACAAACAGTGTCTGCGCAGCATTCAGCCATACATTCTGCATCCTTCAATTAACCGACAGTTTCGTCGCCATGCTGTTGACGTAAGAGGTTCGAGAGGTGTGTTTGTGTGTGTAGGTTGGCGATTTCTGCAGGCTCGCAGACAAGGAGCGAGTTGCAGCCGCACTGGAAAATCCAGCTCTGCGGAACCTCATCAACAACGGTATCGTCCGACACCCAGCAGCTGGAAGAACCACTTGGCAGGAGTTTGTCCATTTCTTGCTCCGAAGGGGTTCAAGCAGGAACGAAGGCAGGAGAGGTGAAGGAACACAGCGGAACATGACAACATGAAACAGTGCCAACAAGAAGAGGTCCCACTTCGGAGGGCTCCGAAGAACGACCGACATCGTGAGAGGCCGGAGGCAGCCGGACGAATCACCATGTATCAAACATGGATCCTGCGGCAGCAAAAACGGCAGTGCAGGGTAAGTATCGAGGGGCATTGGGGGCAACTAACGGTACAACAACAGCGTGCACACATGCAAAGAATGAAGTACAAGCACGACAAACAGATGTGGCAGGAAGAGAAGGCCCAGCAACGCAAACGCCCCCACCAAGAGCATTAAATGGAATCAGAAAGCCGAGAGCACCAACAATCGCATGGCTTCCAATATCAGGAGCCTGAAAATAATGATGAGTGGGTCGGTACAAGGGTAGAGGGTTTCAGATTAGACAGAACGCTGCTAGCTGCTGCTGATTGTTTGCGCGTACTACTGCTGCTGCTGCTGCTTCCGAAGCTTCGCCACTCCAGGTCAAAGATTTCCAAAAAGCGATGTGATTCGTGCACCCATCTGACATTTGCAACATACTCCGACTGATAGTAATAGTATCGGATCCAGAGTCACGGAATACAGAACTTTATGATTCGAAGGACGCTCGCGCGCCTATCTGAGTTTCTTGAGCACATCGACCTTGGAATCACAAACTTGTACTGGAAGGACCTAATATGTTCATGCACGGGTGCATGTCGAAGTAGATTACAACACGACTAGCAACATCAGAATGATTGTTTATGTAAGGTTGATTCATCGGAAAAAGTGTTTTGATCCGACGACTTCGAGAAACTTTTCGAAAGGAATTCGAAGTTCAGGACCATTGTAGTCCCATTAACCTCATACCGCGAAGTTGAAGTATGACCGATTCTCAATTCTGGTTGCATGTCCTCATGTCCAGGTGACCAGACAGTCCCTGCGCTGTAATTTCTTGTGTCGTATTGCGAGGCGTTCTCCAACTAGAAGGCACGTTGAATTTTCATGTTTTCTTGCAATGTTTATCCCGTCCTTTTCAGAAAGTATGTGATAAGTAAGTTGTTTATGCGGAGAAGCAGCAGACCACAGATAGAGCCAAGAAGAAGTTGCCTTGCGTAGAGTTCCGAAGACTTCAGGCCGGTACAGACAAGCCGGATGTGAAGCTTCTCCTCGCCTGAGTGCCCTGCGTGCTCTGCTGGAATGCCACTGCGGTTCGAGGACCTGCCATGTCGGCAAGGCACTCTGGCTCGCACTAACATCGGGTACACCATCATCCGGTGCCGAGCAAACTTCATACTTCATACCTCTGTTTGCGTGCGATGGGATGAAAACGGAGTGTCCGAGTGTCAGCTTGGGCCGGGACATGATGGCGGACAGCTGTCTCTATTTTCTTGTCGCGACAGGTTTCAAAGCATTTTTGATCTGGAGTTCTGTCACTGCATTTTGGCATTGCCATGATTCAGAGGTCCAGATGGTGCTCGTGCGATTGCAGCCGCTTCAGACCAGTGCTCAGCATTTCCTTTCTGGTTCTGTACCTAGGCCACATTGACCTAAGACGTGTTCTGAAATGACGAAGCTCCTCTTTCCCAACCCCATAATTGTGAAGTCTGTGACATGTATTGGTCACATGTGTGGTGTCTGGTCTCATACGTCCCAGAAGCCGAAGTGCGTCGGTTTTACGAGTGCGCACATGCATGTATATACCTGAACGTGCACACACGCACACATTTGCACCGTTGCACGAATGCAAGGATGCAGCTCGCAGGGCGGTTGCCGATGAGCTATCAGCTCTGAGACAAATCTCCGGCCACCGCGCACTGTACAGGGTAGCACGGGGTGGCGTGGGCATGAGACCTTCCAAACACACATAATGTGGGTCTCGTTCACTCTGTTGCCATGAGGCGCCACGACTAGGGAATCCGTAAATGCGCCAGACTACCAGCGAGCAACTGCCATGACCATAAAAGACCACCCATTCGCGGCTCGAACACAAGAATGCCGGAAACTATTCCGGATCGTATGTTCAACTGTTGCAGTTCATGTGCATTCGTGGACACTGGAAATACGTCAAACTTGTGTGCTGGAACGCGGTGCATATGGACGTAACAGGACACCGTTCCCCCGTGCACCTGGACTTTGAGGCGGCATTAATTAGCCTGAGCAATAGCTAGACCAAGTAGTTGCAGCCTTCTTTGCGGCTGTGGCCGCTTTCGCTGCGACTAGATCAACAGCGTGATTAGTTGTCGGCACAGGTCTGTCCAGTCTGCACGTGATTCATCTAAGGTCAGGGCTCCCGGAGGACGTTTACGGAAAGAGGTGTGGATAGTCTCAAGGGCGTCGCAACTTAAGTGTTCGCTTGGAGCTGGCAGGCATTCGTAGCAGCTCTCCTCGCTACTAACTCCAACCGGTATGGTGCCAAGGAGGAAGAGTCCTTGATGCTGGTATCTTATGGTATCGTGTGTGGCGTTTTCGAACCACCACGATGAGGTCCAGCTCCGTCGTGCCGGAGGCTTGCGACTCGACCTCTTCCCTTGCGGGCAGGAGATATTAACAGAATGTCTTCGACAAGGACGTTCCAACGCTGCGAGTGAGACTGTTGTGGGCTCAAAGTGAGCTAGTGTGTTGGGTATTGCGAGGTAATCTCTTGCTGAACCAGGTGCGACCTCTTCCCTCCTAATGGTGACGAAAGACCCTGTCGAGGCCCACTCATCTGGATGGCATCCTCAGCACACCAAGGGTCACAGCCAAAGCGCGACAGATTGTGCCACCCAGTTGACAGGTGTAACTACCGCTGTCTCCGTGAAGGGAGCCGAGGCCTGGAAACTTTGCATTTACTCATTTTGAAGTGCCTAGCACTTCGTGCTCGCAATTGGCTGTGTGCGGTTTCAGGGTCTCTGCGCAGAGCGATTTTTCTTGTTCCCTTTTATGGTGCGAGCTTGTCATGCAACTGCAGTTGGACGAGCCTCCGCGTTCTGGAGTTGCTCTCGAGGTGCACCCAGATCGGGGCTTGTGTAGAAGGAGCGAGTGGCGAGAGAGCAACATTGGCAAGTAAGAAGCCATGCCAACACGAACATATATACACACACACACGCAAGCACGCACGACTCACTACACTCACTCCGCTCACTGCACCCACTCCACTCACTCCACTCACTCCA